TTCTTGAGGCCATCTTGGGGCCATGTTGGGCCCCAAGAGGCTCCCAAGAGAACCCAAAAGGACTCCAACTAGGATCACCCGGCAGAGCCCTTCCGGGTGATCCTAATCGGGTGAGTTTTGGGGCCCTCTTGTGGCCCCCCTGGGGCCTCTTAGGGCCTCTTTGGAAGCGTCTGGAGGCCATCTTGAGCCATCTTGGGGCCAGCTCGGGCCCCAAGAGGCTCCCAAGAGGGCCGCAAGAGGGCCCCAATTGGAATCACCCAGCAGAGGCCTTCCGGGTGATCCTAATTAGCTCTGTCTTGGCGCCCTCTTGTGGCGCTCTCCGGGGGCCCTCTTGGAAGCCCCTTCGAGCCCTCTTGGAGGCGTCTTCAGGCCATCTTGCGCCATTTTGGGGCCAGCCTCATCCCTCGTTCCCCTCCTCAGGCCGTCTTCGGCCTCGGTTCGAGCGACGACGGCTCCTCCTCCTCCTCCTCCTCCTCCTCCTCCTGCTCCTCCTCCTCTCCTCCTCCTCCTCCTCCTGCTCCTCCTCCTCTCCTCCTCCTCCTCCTCCTCCTCCTCCTCGTCCTCCTCCCCGTCCTCCTCCTCCACCTCCTCCTCCTCTTCCTCCTCCTCCTCTTCCTCCTCCTCCTCCTCCCTCTCCTCCCCCCCTCCTTCTCTCTTCCTTCACTTTTACTGTTTGGCGCGCTCACCGCGGGGCAATTGTGGTTCAGTTCCAGGTTGCGCGTAGTCGCGCAGTAGGGCTGGTCTTGTTTCCACGTTTGTCCAGCGAGGGGATGGCCGATTCTGCAGCGAGCGTTCCTGTTTGGCTCGCGGCCCATGCTGCCGACATGGAGCGCATCGAAGTAGCTTTGAAGACGACCGCGCCGAGAGGAATTAAGGACAAGATCGTCCGTAGTCACCCGTCTTTTCACGGCCAGATTGGTTTCACAGATTTGCTTCGCAGGCACAACCTGGGAGACGCTGTAGCCTGTCCGCAGAGGGGTCGGACTCGCGGGGCATCTGGAAAACCTGGCACGTTGGGATCGGATGTGTGGATTCTCGGTTTTGCCCGCGTCGAGCAAGGCGTATGTTACACAGGGCCGTTGACACAATGGAGTGAACAAGAGGACAGCATGTTTCAACAGTATCCTTGTCCTCGCGATTTCTTTTCGTATCGCGTGCGTGATTTCTGGAAAGCACACAGCAGCAATGATGCTTTGAAGGTCATCGATTTTTGCGTCGACTCAAATGGCAGGCCAAAGCCTGTTACTGCTTCGATGCGCACGTTCATGCCCCTTCTTGGAGATGCGCCTCGCTTGGACTATGTGTTTGGATTCGATGATGACGGCGACCCCACACGGAATCTAGCAGATATTCTTAGTATGTGGAATTTTTCAGCGGATACGAAAGTACCATGCGTGCAAGTCGTGGAGCCTCTGGGCTGGTTGATCTTGGCAGGCGTTTGGACTCACATTCCGTATCGAATGTTGTGGATCAGACGTGCGAGACGTGGCCGGGCCACTACAGTTGATCGCAGCATGTTGTTGTGGCCGCAGTGGCCTTCGCCAGAGTGGTGCCCAGATTTGACATTGGAGTCCCTTCCTGATTTGTTCGTTAAAGATCCCCCTTGGAGAAGCGAAGATATCCAACAATTGCATCGTGACCTCTGCGCGAACGCGCCCCGCATTCTTGCTGCTGTGCCTGATGCCCAGGGGCTCCTTGAACGCGTCGCCCGACAACTGTACAGCAGCAGGTCAGGTAATGCATCGAACATGCTGCGGTTCCGTGTTATCGATGCGGAGGTTGCTTCAGGAAAGTTTAAATTCTCGGACGATCTCCTTCTCAATGCCTTCCGTCTCGGGTTTCTCTTGCGGGACAACAAGACGTTGATTGTTTGCGTTCGGCTTGTGATGGAATTGTATTTCACGTCAACCGATGAAGTCGACCGCATGATGTCTCTTGTTAGCCGCTTCGTCCCATCGGCGTTCACGCTGAAGTTCGCAGAGCTACAGATCGACGGCGCATACATGCTTTGGTGGCGCCGCCGCCAGGCACATCGCAAGTATTGGTATTTTGCAAAGCTTGACAGTTCGCCCCAAGCGGGTCTGGAAATGCTTGCCAATGACGTGGATGTGATCGCCGACGTGGATATTCTCGATGTGCAGGAGGCTGTTTTTTCTTAGCACGTTATCCGTGGTTACAAGAGTATGTCAACAATCCAGATCGCGATGAACTTCAGAAGAATAGGGGTTGGCTAGGCCGTCTCATCTTCAAGGCAGTGTTTCGGCATGCAAGGCCGCTGCAAGGTTTGAGCGTCAAGCGAGTGTCCCTGGAACACAAAGTCATAACGTGGATTTCGAGTGCATGTTTGGAGTTCGACTCGATAGAATCATTCAGTGAGAGCTTGACGAGAGTGGCTGGGTTTTGCACCGACATGGGAACAGAGCTTGGGCTCGGTGATTTTTTTTGCAGGGGCATCGAGGCTTTATTGCCGCCTTGGCGACGACCGAGGCTGCTCCAGATGGATGTCGACGGCGGCGACGACGCCTCACATTTAGAGACGGAAAACGAGCCACGCCATCTTTTCCCTTATTCGTTTATCATCCCTGGCATGATCCACATCATCAGCAATGCCTTGAACGACATGCACACTAAGATGATTGGTTGGGAGACTTTCTTCCCACAGCTCACACAGGTTTGCAGGCTATTGCGCGTGAAGGCATTCAGGATCACATTTGTTGAGTGGTGCGTGAAGGCATCTGCGGCCGCGCAATCTGAGAATATGTTCGATACAGCTCCTCCAATGCCCTACGAGAGTCGATGGGGTACGTGCGTTTCCGCGATGTCCTATTTGCTCGACCGCCGGAGTATTTTGGAGCTGTCTTGGGACGCATCTAAATGCGCGACGCTTCGCGTTGGCCCGCCAGCCCATCCAACAGCCTCGCCCGGGCGAATCCTTGATATGGGAAGTGGGGGGGCATGCAGTAGATCGGCGGGCCGGGGGAGCCGTCGCGACCCAACAGGGGGAAGATGGCGGAGAAATCGGATGTGGATGGCGGGCCCGGGGGAGGAGAGGAGGGCGCGGAGGGAGGAGAGAGAAACGGATGGTGCGGATAGGGCGAAGTGGGCCAGCAGCGTGGCCGCAGATTTTCGCAATGCTTTTCGGAGTCTGAGAGCTTCTTGGAGTCTTCTTGGAGCGTCTTGGATCCTTTGTGCCCCCTCCCCCCCCCCGGGGGCTTCTTGAAGCGTCTCGGGCGCCTCTGCGAGCGTTTCGGGGGCCCATTGGAAGCTTCTTGGGTGCCCATTGAGGGCCCCCATGCGCCTCGCAGGGCCTTCCTGGAGTATCTTGGAGGCCTCGAGGGCCAGATTGGGGCCAGCTTGGAGGAGATCAAAAATGCGGGGGAGGGGGCCCTCAATTAAAGTCGCACCTTTAGAGCCCCGAGCGTCGCGTCTTGGGCACCTTGGAGCGCTCTGCCCACATATCATTAGTCAGCCCCTTATTAGAATCTCCTCTATTTAGATTCTTTCCACTTGTACCCAGCCAATAGGAATCAAGTTTACTTTGGAAACTTTATCCATGTATTCGCTATTAAATTTTTATAGTTCAGTATCTACTTATTTCTATTATTTATATTCTTTTAGTTCGACCCGGCGGTTTCTGCTGGATTTCTGAGTAAGTTCTTTCAGTTCTTTAACTTTTGTAGAGTTCATATAGTTCTTTTCCCGGGGCCGTCTCTGGTCTTTTAAGGGCCTCTCTTGGGTTTATTTGCTTCTCCGTCATTAATGTAATCAGTTGTCTTATTGAATGTGGGCCATCATGGGGCCGCGTTGAAGCCTCGAAGGGGCGTCCGAACGAAACAGGTGATAAGGCGACGCGCGATGCTGGTTTTCAGGTTGTTGAAAGGGTTTGGCCACTTGACGGTTCCGTTTCTAGGGTTTGTCTTAGACTCTCAGAGCATGTTGGGAGCTATCTGAAGCCATCTTGGGTTATCTTCCGCAGTTGTGGGGGCCATCTATGGCTTTCTAAGACCATCTTGGTGCCATCTTGGGCGCTCCAGTGCGTCGCTGCCCTTCCCGCCCGCGCCCAGGGGGAGGGGCGCCCCCTTCGCCCCGCCGCCCCGCCCCGCCCCCGCCGCCCGCCGACGGGCGAAGAGGGGGGGATGGAGGAGGAAACGCAACCAACCACCTGCGCCCAAAGGGCTGGAGGGATTCAATGGCGGGCTCGGGAAGACTGCAACGCGGGCGCCGTCCAAAGCCCGAAAGCAGTTGGACGCGGCGGTGATATCCGAGGCCCTCCTTTCTCCGAAGTTTTGGGAATTTCAACATATGTGTTTCAGTTTGCATCACTTGGCTCGTGAAGCACAGGGCTGGTGCGAAGGACGCGTGTGTCATTGTCGGCAGGAGGTCTCTCACATGTCTTCCGCGGCCATGCAGCGACGCTTTTTTGACAGGTCCGATGCGGAAGCTCGCCGGGGCATCGTGTTTCATTGCCCCATGGGCGGCAAGAAAGCCCCCGCGTTGGCCGCCGGAGACTTCGATGAGTACCTCGCAGAGCTCTCTGCAATGCGCGCCGCGCACGTGACAGCTCAGGCGCATGCCCATCTCGATCGAACCGAAGCTTCCACAATCATCGAGGACTTTGAGAGGGGGCGCGCGTCCTTGCTTGACACAGTGGTGAAGAAAACTGCATTCTGGAAGGTATTGCCGTGGTCACTGGCAGCACTTGCGCACTGGGACCACCAGAAACGAGTTCGCGGCGCAGCTTCGCGTCTTCGCTTGTATGATGAGGCTCCGACGTCCGCTGACCACCACAGGTTCGAGTAATGGAAAGGGGGCTTGCTGGGCAGCTCTCATCCAACGCAATTAATCATCATTGCCGACGTCGGCTCTACAAGCATAGGCTCACGGGCGCCTCCGTCGAATCAATGGGATAATGCGTCGGTGAGCCTCTGCCTGCAAAGCCGTTGGAAGTCGCGCCCCGAGGCAATGATGATCATTCGCGAGCGTTTGGGATGCCACGCGAGGCTTTCTTTCCAGTCAGGTTGTCGGATCTGTTCCTGGGCACTGGCGGGCGTTTCCGCCCTTTCGTCGAGAGGTTCGGCAACGGCGAGGACGTGGACAAGGACGAGAGCTCGGATGCCGAGGCATTATTGAAGCATGTTGCGTCTTTCTTATTTCTTGATGTCGTCGAGCGGAGCATCGAGGGCCGCCACAGCGTCGTCCACCGTTTCAGCGTGTTCCGCCCGTCTAAGTTGTGCATGCTTAGCAACAGACTTCGCGTCCCCGAGATCGAGATGCTCTTGCCCCTTGAACCGCCGATGTTTGCAGAACTGATCGAGTGCATGCGTCTTGCGCGACGGCCTCGCCATCTGGCGCGAGAGCTTGGCATCATGGGCCACCCGAGCTTGCAGGAGCTGGACGGCCGTCGAGGGTTCAGGCGCGGCATGAAGCGATACATATGGATGCAACAGGTCCGGGACGTGATATACCGTCTGGATTCGCATACCCAACATCTCCAGGCGGCCGACGCCAGAAAACATGACACTGCACACAAGGCCAAGGTGCGCAGACGGAAGCAGAAATTAGATCATTCTCGTGGTTTAGATTATCACGCTATTGTTGATCGGGCATTGCACGACCATTTGGGCCAGCTTCAGAAGTCTTTTTTCTGTTTTTATTTCTTAGATTTTTTTTTTATTTTTTTTTATTCTTTTTTCTTTTTTCGTTTTTTTTTTCGTCTTTTTGTTTTTTTTTTCTATTTTTTGTGTTTTTTTTTTTCTCCTTTTGCTTTTCTTTTTGTTTTTTTTTTTTTTTTTTTTTCTTTTTTTTTTTTTTTTTTTTTTTTTCTTTTTTGTTTTTTTTTTTGTTTTTTTTTTTTTATTTTTTTTTAAAAATTTTTATTTTTTTTTTTTTTTTTTTTTAATTTTTTCTCTTGATTTTTTTTTTTTATTTTTTTTTTTTCTTTTATCGATTTTTTTTTTCTTTTTCTATTTTTTAATTTTTTTTTTTTTCTCAGTTTTTGTTTTTATTTTTCCTTATTGTATCCAGTAGTATCTAGTTTTTGTTTTTCTTTCTTTGTTTTTCTTTTTTTGTTTTTTCTTTTTTTTAGTTTTTTCTTGTATTTTTTCCTTTTCTTGGAAGTGCCAACGGTTATGTTTCAGTTTCAGTGCCTGTGGATTGGTTGGAACAGAATTGCCTTGGGCCAGTGTCTTCGTATTTGACTACCCCCGTCGGGCAGCGCCCGCCGACCTTGCAGAAATTCAGCATGGCTTCGGACGTGGACGACGCAAACGACTACGCTCATCTCTCGCATGTGCCGTGCCATGACAAGGACCGCCGCATCTACTTCAAGATCGTCGAAGACTACCCCTGCAGGTCGCATCTCGTCTCGGTGGAGGCCGGGGCGGGTCGCAAGATCGGGGTGAATGCGTTTGCAATCACGATACACCGTTATTTCGGCGACGTCGATTGTGACGACGACGACGGGCCGAACATCATGGTTGAGACTGCACCTCACCGCGTTGGCGCCATCAGCCCAGTGGTTTTGCTTGACACGGATCTTTTGCACATGTCTGGTATCCTGATGTGGAGACAGAAGACATCATTGGAATGCACGCTATCAGATTCAGCATGCGAAGGTTTCGATGGGTGCACCATATCCAAAGTCTGTTCGGGCTTACTGCGCAGCGGTGCACTCCCCAAGGCATCTGGAGTGTACGTGTTGGAAAATTATCGACGCTTCGCGTATCCCCGCCATAATTTCGCCGAGCAACGATGCCCAGGCGAGTTGCCCTGATCACGGGATACTGGAAGCCATCTTGAGCCAATTTGGGTTAGATTGAGACATATTGGGCATAGTCGTAGGCTCCCTGAGGTCCTCTTGGAGCCATCTTGGGCCATTTTGGATTCCCCAATCGGTCGCGACCCTTCCGCCCAGGCCCGGGGGCGGGTGGGCAGGGGGGAAGGGCGGGCCCGCCCCTACAGGGGGCGAGGGGAACATGGAAGAGCAAACGATCCAAACCATCTACGCCTACAGGGCCCCAGAGCTGGTGGGATTCCGACGCAGCTGCGCTTTCTCTTTTGAACCGATTGCGAACGCGTCAGGTTGTCGCGTGCCACCGTGCGCCCAGCGCAGCATGTTTTTTCTCATCTTTGTCTTTTTGCTTTTGGCTGAAGTTTCAGTGTTATATAATCATTTTTCTTAGTTTTCTTCTTCTGTCTATGTTAGGTTAGTTCTTTTTTTTTTTTTGCTGATTATTTTTATTTTTGGATTCTTTTTTTGAACATCACTATCAGTTTATTTCTAGTAACTGTACTCTGTAACTTTTTGGGGGGGCATCCAGGTGGTCATTCACTGAGATGGGGTTGAACGCCATCGTGTTTCAATCCACGTTGTTTGCGCCCGTGGACGTCGCTAGTGTCGATTGCAGTGCTATCGGCGACGCCACTCTTCGTAGTGGGAATCTGTCGCTATATGAGCTTGTCCAGTTGATGGCAAGCGATGGCTGGGAATGGCAAGAGTTGCCAAAGCCCAAGGATCGAGGTGGCTTGAAATATGATTGGCGCACCGATGAAGGCGCTCTGCAGAAATACTGGTACTCTGGTTGGGACGTTGACAGGAGGTATCTGACCGTGCTGTTGCTGGCTGGACGAGGTCGTTGCCACGGAAGGGTCGGCGAACCCATTGAGCACGGTAAGGGCTCCAAGTATTATTTCGACCTTCTGTCCAGAATCTCAGGCAAGGCAAAAAAGAGGCCCAAAGCTCATGCGTCCGTGGAGGTCGACTCAGGTGGAGAGAGTGATGGAGGTGGGGGTGGCGACGCAGGCGGGGGCAATCGCGATGACAATCAGGAGGATGACGGTCGTGATTTCGATGGCTGTGCTGACTTCGGCCTGGCTCCTGACGACGCCGAGTCTTTCGACGACGGCGATGGCGGCGCCTCCGAGGACGGCGGGGAGGTCCATAGCCTCGGCTTGCCCAGTCCTGGTGAGGCTTTGCTTTCGCCCACTGGCCCAGGCTCAGCCGGAGGTGCTTCTTCCGGCGGCATGCGCACACCTATCGGCGGCATGCCAACTCCCATCAGGTCGCCAGCGCGATCTCCAGAATCGCTTCCTGGATATTCGCCGATGTCGCCAGCAGCACCACCGCCGCCAGGAGAGCATCTTGGATCTGTGATTCATGAAGTCCCAGGCGGTGCAGGACCACCTCCAGAGCCTCCACCACCCCCTGGACCCCCCATTCACGAGGTGCCAGACGTTGCCGAGGCACCCCCGCCTAAAAGGCCGCGTGGTTGTGATGGTCAATGGGGCGCATTCCTTTTTACTTTTGTTCCTGGCGATGGTAGTGCCGCCCCTGCTTGGCAAGCAACGTGCCCTTTCCACCGCTTTAGCAAAGCGACTGGTTGCCGAAAGCGTCTTTCTGTGACGGGTGGCCAGACAGAAGAAGATATCAAACGGCGGTTGCGATGGTGGTGTTGCAATGCTTCTGCTTACGCTCGACAGAGGGACCATAGGAGCTTTCATCCGAACCTTGAGGAAACGCCCATTGATGCGCTGATAGAGGCCAAGCGCATTGACGACAAACCAGCAGTGCGACCTCAGACCGATCAGGAACTGGATGAAGCCGAAACTGATAGGGCAGTTGCGGACATGGCAGCTGACGACCGCGCCAAAGACGCTGGCGCAGAGGATTGTGGAGGTGAGAAGTCTTGTCCGCCTCCGCTGGACGGGCCTGGCGAGGAGAAAGGCTTCGACACTGATTCGGACGAGGACGGCTCCGATGCTGATGGGGCTAAGGCTGAGGCCGAGGCTGCCTTGCAGCAGTCCTCGTCGTCATCGTCGTCGTCGTCGTCATCGTCGTCAGACTGAACTGGCACATGCGAAGCGGCGAAATCCCTCAGTCCTCCTACTCCTCCTACTCCTTCCTGCTGGGGGCCTCTCGAGCCGTCCCTGGAGGCCTCTTTGATTGTCCTGGTAGCCATTTGGGCAGTCTTGGGAACCATCTTGGGCTTTGTTGGGCCATCAGGAGGCGCCAAAGGGCCCCCCGTATTAACTGCGCCAGGATGCCCATCTGCATGCCAGCCGTTTGTGTATTGAGTGCACAGGGCTGCCCAATTGCATGCCAGCCGTTCGTGTAATTATTGATTGCACCAGGATGCCCATCTGCATGCCCGCCGTTCGTGCATTGGTTGCGCCAGGCTGCCCTTTGGGCCCTCTTGGACTCCAGAGGGCTCCCAGCGGGAAGATCTATGCTGTAGGCCTTCCTGCTGGGGGCCTTTCGGGGTGTCCCAGGGGCTTCTCGGACCGTCCTGGAAGCCTCTCGGGCTGTCTTGGAGGCCACCTTGGGCCCTCTAGGGCCATCAGGAGGCCCCAAAGGGCTCCCAGCGGGAAGATCTACACTGTAGATTGTTTGGCGGGGGGCCTCTCGGGCCGTCCCCGGGGCTTCTTGGACCGCCCTGGAAGCCTCCTGGGCTGTTTGGGGGGCCACCTTGGGCCCCCTTGGGCCATCAGGAGACCCCAAATAGCTCCCAGCGTGAAGATCTACACTGTAGGCGCTGATCCCCCAGCGAGGGGATCTACACTGTAGATCTTCGAGCCGAGGCCATCAGCGTGAAGATCTACATTGTAGATCTTCTTGCTGGGGGCCTTTTCGGGCCGTCCCGGGTGCCTCGTGGACTGTCTTGGTATCCTTTTGGCCAGTCTCTGGGGCCATCTTACGCCCTCTTGTGTTATTTAGAGGTCCCGAAATGCACCCAGCGTAAAAGTCCACACGGTCGATCTTCTCGCGCTCGGGGCCTCTTGAGGCCGAGGGGCCGAGGGCTCGAAAAATGCGCTCGGGTACCCCGTCCGGCCCCTCTTCTGGAACCGTCTACGGGGCCTCTTGGGCAGTCTTGGAAGCACTATGAGCCCTACGAGCCAAAGAGCCCTACGAGCCTTGCGAGCCCTATGATCCCCATGAGCCCTATGAGCCCTGTGAGATCTATGATCAATATGAGCCGCATGAGCCCCATGAGCCCAACGAGCCACATGAACATTAGACGCATCGCGCTGCGCCATCAAACGCGCCCTCTGTTCTTCTTCGGGTTCCGTTGAGAGACTCTGTTGAGGGCCTCGAAGGACCACTAAGAGGGCTCCCGAGCGAGAGAGAATCCCATAAACAATCCACGCCTGCAGGGCTCGTCGGATTGCAGGGCCATTGCAGGGCGTTGCAAGGCCGTTTGCAGGGTGCCCTCTTGGGGCCCTTCTCGGGCCCTGCCAGGCCGTCTTGGCGCGCCCCAGACGGCCCCCAGAGGGCCCTCAGTAATGTCTAAAAACGGTTTTAAAAACTGATGGCACCCCCCCTCCCCCCCTCAGATCCCGACTGCCATTAATTCGCATCCGAATAATTATTTGTTATTTCCCCCCCCCCCCCTTCCTTGGAAAAAAACAATGGATGGCGATCGATGCCACTTGTATACACCTCGGCACCAGG